CCCCCCAGTGTCCTCACTGCCCCTCAATGTCCTCACTGCCTCCCAATGTCATCACTGCCCCCACAGTGTCAACACTGCCCCCACAGTGTCAACACTGCCCCCACAGTGTCCTCACTGCACCACAGTGTCCTCATGGCCCCCCAGTGTCCTCACTGCCCCCACACAGTGTCCTCACAGCCCCCCAGTGTCCTCACTGCCCCACAGTGTCCTCACTGCCCCCAAGTGTCCTCACTGCCCCTCAATGTCCTCACTGCCTCCCAATGTCATCACTGCCCCCAGTGTCCTCACTGCCCGGGTGTCCTCATTGCCCCCCAGTATCTTCACTGCCCCCCAGTGTCCTCACTCCCCCACACAGTGTCCTCTCTGCCCCACAGTGTCCTCACTGCCCAGTGTGTTGTTGCTGCCCACACTTGCCCATGGTGTCCTCACTGCTTTTAGTACCTTTACCCTCCAGCCAACTTCTGAGAGAGGGGAGTCTTAGGTGGTTTTTACCTACTGCTTTCATGTGTGTCACCAAACCACTTCAGGTGAGTGTAAATGAGTGATTGAGTGCTGTGAGCCTCTTCCAGGCGTTCTCCGTGGTTTGGGGAGCCGCACTCCAGTGCAGGTGGTGCAGATATTGGACACGAGGAGAAGGGTTTATTTTACACAGAAGTTGGGGCGGGGAAGACTCTGTAGGATGTGAGCTGCTGTTCGCCCCCTCACCTCCCCAAGCCCATGGGGTGTCGGTTCGCCTTGCTAGGGGTGGGAGTGTCAGCAGTGTCTGGCCCACGTTGATCCCAGCTTGCAGAGAGGGGTGGGGGGTCTCAGAGATTGGGCAGGGGCCAAGGATGGGGGCGGTCTCCAGGTTGGGGCGAGAGCTTCTGCGGCAGGGTACTGTCGAGTTTGCAGGCCTATGTCGCTCAGTCAGGACTCTCCTCTCAGGACGCGCTTGCTCCGGCGGCCCCTTCCGCCACCAGTGGGGCGCTAAGCGCGAAGTCGGGCGCGGCGCGGGCGCGGGCGCGGGCGCGCAGCCTCCGCAGGCGGCTCAACAGCAGCCCGAGCAGCAGCGCATGCAGCAGCCCCAGGCCGAGCAGCGCCACCTGCGCCGCCATCGCCCCCCAGCAGAGCGCACCGAGAGTGCAGGCGGCGCGCAGCTCCTCCTCTGCCAGGTAGGGCAGCAAGCGGCCCCGCAGCCCTGGGGGCGCAGCGCAGCGCAGGTCGCGGTAGGGCGCGCGCTCCGGGCGGCCGGCTAGCCAGGCGCGCAGCGGCAGTAGGTGGCAGTCGCAGCGCCAGGGGTTGGCACCCAGGTGCGCGGCGCGCAGCGCGGGCAGCGCATCCAGCAGCCCTGGCGGCAGCGCCGTTAAGTTGTTGCCCGTCAGCACCAGCTCGGTGGTGTCCGGCGGGAAGGCGGCTGGCAGCGAGGCCCATGTCAGCCCGCGACGCCCGCAGTCCACGAGCGTCCCTGCGCAGCGGCACTGCGCGGGGCAGCACGCGACGGGACGGCTCAGCGGTGCCAGCAGCAGGAGCAGCAGGCTCAGCGCCCCGCGCGGCCCTGGAAAACAAGTGCCGCGGTGAGCTGGGCAGGCCTACCGGTCTGCGGGGTCCCGAGTCGGTTCCCAGAGCACCCAGAGCTCTGGGCTCCAACTCCTGAGGCTCGCAGCTCCCTTCGCCTGAAATTCTGTCCACCCCGCGCCCTGGCTGGAAGTATCCTCTAAATCTGACCGAAGTTTTCTCTATTGTAGCCATACGGTAGGAGCACATTCTGACCCGAGCCAACCCAGACTCACCGGAGCCCATGGCGAGAGGACCCGTGGCCCAGCTTGCTCTGGAAAGCGAGGCGTTAGCCGGAGAGCCGGGCGATAAGGTCGCCCCGCCCTTCCAGGCCCCGGCGAACTCGCCGCTGAGACCACAGCGCGGACGACCCGCCAGAAATAACTCCGAGGCAGTGCGGCTGCAGCAGATACACACTATCTCCCGGGCGCGTGGGCCATCCGGGCTTCCGCCCCCACCCGCTCCCAGGGGGCACATGGAGCACTCGGACACCCGTAGCGACGTTCACCAACAGTGTTCCCCTGTCGCCAGGACAGGACGTGGCATTCACAACTGAACAAAACGGAGTATAGGGTGTGTGTGTTTGGGGGGGGGGTCATGCGGGAGAAAGGCTCTGGAGGCCAAGGGCTCAGGATCCTGGAGCAACAGCGGGGACCCCCTTCAGTGCCGCTGGGGAGAAGGAGGGACCTCTAGCGGCGGCCAGCACGGCTGTCTAGGCAAAGGGGGGTTGCCCTCTGGCCCAGCGCAGCGTAGGGGCGGGGAGAGGGCGGTCCCGGGAGCCGGCCCAGCACGCTCCTCGTCCGCCCTTGTCTGGAGGGGTCCCCATTGCTCCGGCTGCCCAACCCTTCCCGCTGGGCTTCCCGGTGCAGGGGTGAGGAGGTAAGGGAGAGCGGCCCACTTTGGCACAAAGTGGGGTCTCAGCATACGCTCGGTGGACAGCAGGAGCGGGCACACCGGACTCCCAAGTCCGCTCTGCGGCACTGGGGGCCGGGGTGGGGAATAGGCCCCTTACCCTGGGGATCTGGTACTCTCTTCTACCTTTGTTTACCCCCTGAGCGGGACCTGGAGTCTCAGTCCTATGACCTTGGGTGGGGGCTGTGATCTCAGAAGTCCCACCCAACAGTAACTCCTGCTTCCCCCAAGGCCAGAGGGGGCCGGTTGGGGGGCTGTTGTCCAGGCCCCTCGGAAGCAGATGATGCGGGTGGGGAGGATGGGTGCTGAGAATAAATTAGGGTTGGCTAGGGGCTGCGGTCGAGTCCCTGGGTCGAGTCGGTAGGAGCAGTCCAGGATCGGGCCACTCTGAGATTGGGGTTGGGTCCAGGCCAGTCTGATCCAGCGAATCCAAGGTCAGGTCCAAGCCTGTCCCGGATCTGGGGTCTAGGAGTGGGAGGGGCTGGCCCAGGGATGGGCTGTCTATCCTTGGCGACGTGAGGTGGGGTGGGGTCACTGGTCCTGCATTTGCTGCTTCATCTTCTGCAGCATCTCCTGCATGCGCCTCAGCTTGGAGAGGGACAAGAAGGGTGGAGTGAGAAACGCTAAGGGAGGGCCTTG